AAAAATGAACATTTTAAAGGAAAATGTTTAAGTATTTTAGGCGATTCAAATGTTATGCTTAGTAAGAAATAATTCATTTATTTAATTTTTTTTCTTTTCTAAAAACAAAATTCTTGTAGTACCATGTGATACAAATAATCCAAGTCAAAGATGGACATTTAATCAAGAAGTTGAATTATATGATTAATTTCATGGATATTTTAAATCAAAATATATCGAAACATTCTATTTCTCTTTTCATTTTTGTTTTTATTATTAAGAATCTCCTATTTGGTTTCTTTATTCCTCGTTTTTTCTTTTTGTGATATGTATCTGTTCTGTTTTTTCTTAGTGCATAAAATTTCTTTTGTTAAATTCTTAAATTCTTAAATCATAATATTCTTCACTTGCTTTAGATATGGTTAATTATATGTGATAGAACTATAAAATAACAATTTATTCATATTGATAAATAAATGTATGCAATTAATTATTAAGAAATTTTATTATCGTTCGATTTATAAAAACAACCTATTGTAGTCAGTTAACTAATTGGTTGTCAATAGAAAAAAAAACTTTTGATGTGTACTTTTTCAAATTGTCCTTGAGCTGTCGTTTTTTCTCTCAGGTTAAAATGGGGACAAAAGTAAAACGTACTTTACCTGTGCTTTTATTACAAGGAGCTGTCATATTCGTAGTACAATAGAAACAGTAGTAAATATGTTAAAGAAAAAGAAAACAATCGTTTTTTATGTTTATATTGTTTCTCATAGAATAATGTTCTTTTGATGGATATTACAGATATGTTGGGATTCATTGAAAAAAAGAATTGTTCTTTCGTTTAGAGAAGACCTCCAATGACAGGTACAACTTTATTTTAATCACAAAAATTTTTCGATTTATCAAAAATGTTTGTTCAGTTTTAGAAAAATCGAATTTTTATTGATGAAACAAAAAAGAAAAAGAGAAATAGATTTTAACATTTGAACTTGTTTATTCTCAATGATCTGTCACTTTAATCAAACGTTAACAGACTGGAATAGCAACAGATGAATGTAATTTGACGAAAAATGATAGAAGGGATGTTAGTGTTGATGGTGATACACTTTATTCTATTCTCTCATATCATACAATCGTATTGTTTACATATAAAGTACACGCTTGCATACACGAGCAGAATAAGAGAGGATGCAAAGAAAGAAGGTGAGTCCAAGAAGACAACAACGTAAGAATAGAAAAGCGATGAGGCCAACGAGAGAACACGTATAGAAGAACAATAGAGTAAGGACATAGCGTATAAATAGATAGGTGAGAACAATACGTATAACATATGAGTGAATGATGATATAGAATGAGAAGTTCATTATGGCAGAGAGAGAGAAGAAGGCTCAATCATGCATAGATAAACGTAACAGTAACGCGACTATGAATACAACATGTCATTGATTGTACAGCAATACAGTGAGAAAGAAAAGATATCATATAAGATAATATGCCCATTGGCACATCTCCTCCCTCAACTGAGACACGCTTCTGAGCGTCTGCAAGATTTGAGTTGATAATTGGAAATCCAAAACGTCAAAAAGTGAGACACATTTAACACGAGTATAAAATAAATTAAATTGCTGTGCTCACTCTTGATTGAGTTAAGTACAAGACAGAGAAAAGAAAACAGGAAAAATAGCCAGCGTAAGAAATGGGAATTCAAATAATACTCGAATTAATCTGTTCATGTAATATTGTATCTTCACCAATGTTTCATCGAATCAAATATTCGACACAAAGAAATGTTAGTCCATATTGTATTGGACATAAAAAGAATAACGTCACGTTTCTCAGTTGCTTTCGTGATATTCAGATGTCGTTCGCTTTGCTTCGTTGCCGTTCTGGTTCTCCATTTGCTCGCTTCACACATGATCTTCATTTGTGAATAGTATTTCAATATCATTGACGTCAAATTGTCATAATAAAAGCGGGAAATAGTATGATTGAGTTTAACCCTTTAAGTCTTGAATTTTTTCTGCCGGACCTAATTTGATGAAACCACCAGGAATGATAGAGCTAGGTGTGCTGATGAAGTTCTACTATAGGACAGATTTTGGTAATCCCGTGCTTTTATCTGAGTGAAGGTGCAAAGTTGGAGAAAATTCGAGAGTAGGCTCTGAAGATGGCTTTGGCATTTGGCTCAGGAACAAGCTACAGATTTGGGGATTTAAGCATTAGATAGAGGACAGTTGGTCGATTCTAGAGCATTAATAAAAGTTAAAATTTTGTTTGGGCTTCATAGAGATATTTCAGCCCAATAAACGTCAAAAATTAGCACTTTCAGTAGATTTTTTTACAAAAAACAGAACACGAGAAAAAAAACATGCGCTACAAAAAATGATCACTTCAACGAGTGGCATCTATGGTAAAATTTTCAGACTTCTCACATTTGTAATAGAGGAACTAGATAAGGTCCAATTTGGCTGGGAGGTCCACCTTATCTTCCTCATTTGAACCTCTTCACAAGGTTTTCAATTTTTTCGAACCTACAGCTATGCTTACAGGTACGAGTCCTACAAGCCCTGAAAGTTTTATTCCATTCCGATGAATTCGGTGTAAACTTTCCTACACTCTCGATAGAAGCACTCCCCCATGGGGTCAAAACTCCGCAAGATGCATTTTTCAATGTCATCCATACACTCTATTATCCAATCAATCTTGTACGGACCTCCGCTAGCTTCTAGCATTTATTGAAAATATTTCTCCAAGATTCTCAAAAACTCGAAGATTTCAAAATTCTCAAGGTTGGAAATATCTATTCCACTGGGTCGCAAAGGATTAAAAAATATAATGTATAAAAATTAGTACGTAATCTCTTGGAATGAAGTAATAAGGAATGTTTTAGGTTGTTAGTGCGTGAGTCTGGAGGTGGGCGCGCTGATGTGGACATGTCCATCTAGATTTTTGTGTGCTGTGTGTGGGTGTGAGCGTATGCGTCTGAATGTGGGAACTGAAGTCGGGTTGTGAGTGTAGTTGACAGACTTCTATTGAAGAAACTCCATACGAAAACCCACTTGCATTCACACCCAGATCACCTATAGCCACACCACCCACTAGAGTCCATTCGATCCAAGAATTTTCGGACCCGGATCCGCCTCGAACCCAGCTGCTAAAAGTTTTTTTGGACTCGGACTCGATCGACTCAACATTTTTAGATCCGAATCCAACGGGCTCTACCACTCGCATCCATCCAGCAGAAATAATTTGGGACTCAAATGGTTAAGTTGATATCTATGAGCGATAGTCATACTATTCTAATTCGATTTTTTCAATAAAGATAAGTACTGGCGGCGCCAGGAATTTAGACTAGGATGAGTTCCGGTACCCTGAGTTTTGAGCAGAGTGGACTTAGTCCAAGAGGAAAAAGGCGAGATTCCTATACTCCGAAGTATGCACGAGCTACGTACGTCACTGTACGGGAGTCTCACTTTTTCCCCCTTGGTTCAGCCTCACTCAACTTTGTAAGAATGCAAAGTAGTATCGTGCGGAAAGGACTTTTCCCGCAGGAATTGGGAATAGGCACGATAATAAAAAAGATGTTCCTGAAAATTGTTTTGCTTTGTTTTTTGTATATGCTCTACAAACTTTGTGCTTTCAAGCAAAAATTGTCAAAGTCAATTTAATGTGCCGTTATTGAGAAATATGAGATTTTGACATTCTTCCAAAGATTTTTATATCACTTATTAATTAATTAACTGTTCACTTTCCCTTCTTTTTTAACATAATGCTCTTTCCAAGTAAGAGAAGCCTTTTAATTTAGTCAGCAACGAACGATGAGAAAGTGAAGAATAAGAAATAACTGTACATTGACTTTTTTTTCTGAGAATAGCTAAAATTTTGATCCTTCAATTGTTCATGTACACAGAGGGTGCCAGATAAGAGTGAAAAAAAGCTCTGATCTGGGTTCATAAAAATGCGAATTCACAGTTCCCTAATCTAGGGATATCAGTATATGATGAATGATTGTCGTTTGTTATTAGAAAGTTTTCATAATTCATATCTTAAAGTAGGACATACAAAAATCCGTGAAGTTTTCGTAATGAACTAATATCATTGAGAGCTTTGTTTGTGCGAAGTGTCAAGTCGAAATTAGAAATTTGATCTTCATGGTGATCTGAGAAGGATTACAGGTTTTGATTTAAAACTCTAATAAAAGTTCGATATGTCAAGAACAAAGGCTCAGATAAACGCACCATCTTAAGCTTTGACACGACACACCATTGTCTATCAGCTGAGTACAGTTTTGATTAAAACGTAATTGAATACTTGAGGGGATTTTCTCGTCAGATCAATTTAATGTTGATTTTTATTAACTACTCAAAATGCATTCTTGTTCTGAAAGTGAACAATAAAAACTGTCATCATATGTATTGAATAATAAATTGTTTGTTAAAAGATCATAAAGAAAAAAAAAATATTCTCAACACAAATGAATCAATTGTATTCATTGTATAATAGTAATGTTGATTGTCTAATTGTCATTTGTACACAATTGAATCCGTAATGGAATTTTTCATTCTTCGAAGAATTTGAACCATTGCAAAAGAATCATTGATGAAAATTATTTCAAATTAAAGTGTTTTTTTTTCGTCAAATATTTATTTTTAAGGATCAATTTTGAAAATTCAATTATCAATAGGTATTAAATAATCTAGCAAAATTATTCTTTGTTTTCATCAATTTGACTAAGTATGGATAGAGGTGTTTTCATTGTTTCTTTTTTTTCATAAAATCTTCTTTCAAGTTTATACGCATTCACAAAATATAAAATTTTTTTTTAAAGTAATTTATTTATTTCTATATTACCAATTTGTTTACTTATTTTGTGATCAAGATTTCATAGAAACAGGTTTTTATTAACATTTGACAAAGATGTTTATCATTTTTTGGATCAATTCCTTCGACAATTAATAAGTAAGTCGTACTTTTTAAACAAGATTATAGAAAAAAAGATATTTCTTTCTAATAAAATTAGTTTAATCTCGATGATTAGTTCTTAATGAATCATATTGTTTTCTTAGTTTCGTCCAATATAAATTATAATCATTCATAAAACTTTTATATCCATTTGATTCTTTTCCATTAAAATGATCTGATGAAGCAGCACAAGCAAGTGGTTTATTTTCGGATGCAAAAAATTCTTCACTACATTTTGTTTGATAACGATAATCAACATTTTGAAAAATAGTTTGTCTTTGAATATTCATCATTTGAGGTAATAAACCAGTAAAATAAACATCTGATAATGGAAATGGTTTTGAATCAGTTTGATATGCATTTATTAATAAAGAACAAGTTTTAAATGACATTAAATAACCAAAACCAGATAAAAATGTTGGATATCTTGAACATGAATATTCATCTTGTGTAATAACATATCTTTGACCAATTTGATCAATACCATGACGAACAACTAAACCATATTCTATTGGAAAACCAAATAATGAATAAATTGTTTTATTATTAGTTAAATATTGAAAATTATTTTTTGATGATAATAATAATAATAATAAAAATGTATTTATAAATATATCATCATCTGTTTTAAATATAAATTTTGTTTGTTTACAATGTAATTTAATAAATTCATATAATGCTGCTTCACGTTCTGTTACATATTCATATTGTTCAGGAAGATTATTTACTTGTACTATATCTTTATGATATTTATATTCAAGTTCAATTTTTTTTTCTGATTTTGAATCAATATCAACTAAAAATAATAATTTTAATTCAATATTAGGAAAATATTTTTTAAGTAATTGTGTATTTCCCCATGTTCGACGAATTGATTGACGAATTGATGCATGAGAACATTTTGATATTACAAATATTAATATATCTATTGATGGTTCATGACATTCTATTAATGTTAAATTATTATATTCAAATGGATTTTGAATTCGTGGAAGTGATGAAAAGAATTCTTCATATGATTCAGGAGAACTAGAATAAATACATATGTTCAATTGTATAGATAGAATTCTCTTAATATTCATACATAAGAGAAAAATAACAGATTTCAAAAGAATTCTTCAAACAAGATGTCAAAGCCCCTAGAGGTTTCTACTATCCTATTGTAGATATACCATTAGGCGAAAGAAAATGAGAAGTGATGTAAATGATTTTAATGTCTAATTATCTACTACTTACTTAAGTTTCTTATCTGTTTATCCTGTAATATTTCTGAAAAATGATAGTTTTATATTAGTGAACATTTTTCTTTATCTTCGGCGGGTAGTAGAAAACATTTTACTGATAAAATAATTTAATCTAAATTTAATTATAATTCAAAGATGAAAGAAAATTTTTCACAACAAGACTCTCAATATACTGAGATGTGTCGATTCGAGTTCGCGATGGGAACTTATAGACAATCCATGTAAAAAAGATCAAATAAATCTGATATTTATTAATTACTTTTTTTCTAATTGAAAATCGATTAAAGCATCACTGTTCTATTCTGGTTTTAAGCACATTATTTGATTTTTAATTAATTTAAATCGATTAACGGCAATGATTGTAAAAGATTTTAACTTCGAAACTGAAATTTTTAATTATTTTCTTGCACATCTTTACTTAACAAACGGTAAGTAAAATACAAGTTACATTTTGAGATATACGCATTTCCATTTAAATTTGTTCATATAAGAGAAAATACCGATAAATTAGATTCAAATCGATTTTGTTATGTTTTGATTAATTGAAATGTGTCTTTCAACTTTATAGCTACATCTCATTAAAATTTTAATCAGTGTTAATCGATGAAAACAGATTATTTATAGATTGTTCTCAATATATTAAAAATCAATTAATGTCTAATAATCGATTAGAATAGGTGCAAATTTAATAATCATGCAGAATCGACTGAAAAGTCAAATAAAGTGTTTAAAATCCAATGATAATAGTATCATTTTAGTTGATTTTAATCAGAAAGAAAACGATGAAAGTTAGATTTTATCTGTATTTATCTTTTTACATAAAATATAACCTTTATGCCATAGACTGATGATAGTCTAGGAATAAAATTTTGAATGAAACACAAAATTTTCAAGAGGCTTTGCATAGACTATCACTATAAAATGTTTTTTTCTTCGAAAAATCTCATTTGATTCTTCCGTTGATTCAAATATTTGCACAATGAATAGCATATAAATATACAAAAGAGAATAAAGAGAAAAACGACAAAATTTGAGTATAAATAATTTAAGAACAAAATAAATGTTGACATGCCGGCACAATGTTGTCGACAAATCTATTTTTGAAAAAAAATTTTTGCCAGAGAGACTGTCTATGAACTCGATTGTTCTTTATAGAAAACCCATGAATCGACTTTGATAGTTCCAGCCGATCTCTGCATTACAAACATAAATTTTGACTAACAAGAGAACCCATCTGATTGATAATCTCCGTTGGAGTTCATATTTTGCTTAGATAGATGAAAATCGTGAAAGAGTATTTGCCATTAGGCGTTTCTTCTCGAGTGATGATCATTTTATTGAATTTTCAGTCTATTGTAGGACATAACAAGAAAAATCGCAAAAAAGAAGTTTCAGTTCAAACGAATATTTTCCTTCTGATATAACACATTTACAAAAGATGTTACTTTCATACAAGAGCTATTGTTGGAGAGAATTTTAGGGCAAAACTTCTTGTTGCAATTTTTCTCATGATATCCTACAATAGATTGAAAGTTCAATAAAACGATCATAACTCAAGAAGAAAGACCTAATGGTACGTATTGTTTCAGTATTTTCATCTAGACTATGGAAATATTCTTTAAAAATTTATAAATAGTCTAATTGGGAATAGAATTTTTGATTTACATTAGAAATAGTTAAAATGTGAATAAATGATTTAATTTTAATTTTAATTTTAATTTTAAATTAAATATTAAAATATTCTATCAATCAAAAGATCTATTCATTTATATAAAAGAAAAATCTCTCCTTTCTTTTCATTGAAATTGAAATAAATTTAAAAGAAAAAAGATCTTTTTTCAATATTTATATAAGAAAGATATTATTTTTATGTTTATATATTTAAATAAGATTTGACTAGAAGAAACGAAATTCAAGATGAAATATAATAAATCATTAGAAATCAATAATATTCTTTCTAAAAATAATGAACTCATCCTTTGATAATAATTATTAATGATCATTCGTCTTTTATATAACAAATAAGATAATTTTTTTTTAACAAGATAAAATTATAAAAATTTCAAAAAATAATTACCGAACTCGTTCTGTTATTGTTGGAAAATGATCATCCCAAGTACAAACTGTTGTTTGAGGATCTGGCCAAGGACAAAACCATGATAATTGTTCAGCAGGATCACATAATTGATGATTTTTATTAAAAAATAGAATATATATTGAAAATAAAAAAATAATTATTATTAATATAATCAATTTTAATAATGATAATGTTCGAAAACGTTTTAGAATATAAGAAATACATATTTTTGTGAAAAACATAATAGAATTTTTTTTCATATAATTATATTTATAAAACATTAATATTGAAGTTGTTTTTATCAATAAACATTATTATCAAAATGATTTATTACTATTAATTGATTGATTATTTCGAATAAATCAAAGATATAATTATCATTGTATTAATAGATGCGAAACAGATATTTAATTGAAGGGTTTGATGTATATCTCTATTCAATATTTCACTTTATCGAAAACAAATATGTAACTGGAAAAAAAAGAGAAAGAATCATGTCAATGCAAATAGCGTTAGCAGTAGCAAAAAGTAAAAGACGCAAGGATGTCAAACAAAAGCAGAGACAAGAGAAATGCTCACTACACTATTATTTGGACGCTTAAATTTTTTTTTCGTTCTGTTGCGTAAATGTAAAAAAACGAAGGCTTTTTTTTCTTGATCGCACACAACAAAATCAAGCGAATAAATAAGCAAATAAGAATTAAATTTATGATAACAACATAATTGAAAAAATATTTCAAACAAACATTTATCAAACATCATATTGAATTTCATATTTGATTTTCACTGATTTCTAATGTGAATACAAAATTCAAAGAGTTGAATTGAAATAAAACAAGCTCGATGCTTCGTTTTTAAAATAACAACATGCTAATAGCTTTCCATTTCATTTTTTTTTTACGAGCCTTCAGGAATTCTTTCAAGTAACAGCACGTTATATTCCATTCTTCATACGACTCTGAAAATGCTTATAAAAGAAATATAAAAAAAGAAAAAAAAAAAAACTTGAAATATGAATTGTATAAACAGATTTTTTTTGTCCTTCTGTTTTTTTTTCTTTTTTCTAAGGTCGTATTTATAAAAAGTCAGCGTTATGTGTCGCTATGGTTTTGAGAACTGAAAATCAGAAAATATTTTTCGAAATGTTATAAAAACTAATTCGATTTTTATCGATTGAAATTTCTCTTATTTTAATTCAATGATTGGCAGTATTATCATTCAAATAGAAAGAGAAAAAGTGTTTTTTTTTTTACCATAAATGCATTCAAACATATGCATATTATCACATAGCCTACAAGTTTTCACATCGTTTATTCTTTCACGTCAGATTTTCATCATTGTTTTTATAGGTGTTTTTTCATCGCATGATGGTTGGCTTTAGCTGCTTATATTTAGAATTCAAATCAAGATATTTATGGCTTGTAAAAAAAAGGCTTCTTCTGTTACTTATATAACTAACTTATCTCTTTTTGTTTTATGTCAACCTCCTCTAGCATTAGAGACCGACCGGTTCAATTAGTAAAAATCGAAAAAATTTGGCTCATAAAAAGTATCGTTGAAACCGGTGATCTAATAATATAGTATGCCAGATAAATAATATAAGAATTTTTTTCTACAAAGAACGAAAGCCGTTAAGCAACGAAATGGATTCCTTCCAAAAATTGAATTTCTTATTTTCCTACTTGTTAATTCAGATGTCATAAGTCGATTGTCGTTCGAATTAGACCATTAGACTGCATTTCAGTTGTGCATGCCTGACTCAAAACTCGATATTATCAATCTCCTATAGCATGATGTAATGCTGTGTTTATACGGAAAGTTTCTCTTCCGTCTTCAGCTCCATTGATTTAACTAATATATCAAATGAAAGCTCTTTCTTTTTTCTATTGAATGGTATATAGAAGTATGACAAAATATTGTTCTTTCTTTAAGATGACATTGTTTGCTTGTATGTACAATATGAGGACCCCAATGACAAAACTCTCTCACTATTGAGCTGTGAAAGTAGTGATCCATTTTGAATTAGATTTCATTCGATAGGTTTTCCAAAACTTTACAAAATGATACAATTATGTTGAGCTTAATTTGTGAGCAAGGGATTTTAGTCAAACGTACAATGTTCATGAGTGCTCACCGTTGCCGATTTTGGTCTGAATAATCAGGCTTCCTACAGAAATAAATGATATGTATTTTTGAAATGAGCATAAAAAGTTGAATCGATCTATATGTGTCAAAGATTCCTCCGACAACTTTTATTTTCGTCCAAAAACTAAACTGTAGTTTCCCTCTCAGGGTTGCTTCGAAAAATAAATCCAGTCAACATGTCAGTGTAACTGTGAAAAATCATTTTTAAGTTTTGTAAAACATGAGAAAATTCAAAACGATGTTTTTTGACTGATTTTATTTTTCGAGACAATCCTGAGCGGAGAACTATAGCTTAGGTTTTGGAGGAAAATAAAAGTTGCTAGAGAATTCTTTGACACATATAGATCGACTCAATTTTTTATGCTCATTTCAAATATATATATATAATTTATTTTTATAGGAAGCCTGATTATTCAGATCAAAATCGGCAATTGTTGGCGCTCTTGAACATTGTACGTTTGACTAAAGCCTCTTGTCCATAAATTAAGCTCAACATAATTGTATCATTTGGTAAAACTTTGGAAAACCTATCGAATCAAATCTAATTCAAAATGGACCACTACTTTCACAGCTCAATAGTGAGAGAGTTTTGTCATTGGGATCCTTCATATTGTACATACAAGCAAACAATGTCATCTTAAAGAAAGAACAATATTTTGTTATATTTCTATTTGCTATTCAATAGAAAAAAGAAAGAGCTTTCATTTGATATATTAGTTAAATCAAAGAAGCTGAAGAAAAGAGAGAAACTTTCCGTATAAACATACCATTACATCACGCTATACGAAATCAATAATATCAAGTTTTGAGTCAGGCACGCACAACTGAAATGCAGTCTAATGGTCTAATTCGGACGACAATCGACTTATAACATCTAAATGGACAAGTGGGAAAATAGAAAACTCAATTTCGCGAGGAAGGGAGCGGTTTCATCGTTTAATGACCGTCCTTCTTTCTAAGTTATATTTCATTTTCTATGATTGTTATTAACAACTTCTTTTTTATTTAAAAATGCGATTGCTTTGAAGGATAAAACAACAGAGAGAAAGAGTGAGAAAATTATGACGATTAATTAACTGTATTATATTTTCGTCGATGAAGAATTCTATTAAGCTGAAACCTTGTGTAAATATTAGAGGTGCCTAGTTACAATTAAAAAGAAATTTCAGCTTTATATCTTGTTCTGGTAGGAGCTAGAGCAATTTTAATATATTTATAATTGTCATTGTTATGTCTATCACATCTCCAATGGCATTGATAGATTTGTCTATTTACTCATTAACTTACCTACAAACTTACCTAGCAATCTACCTAACTAATTACCTATCTATCTATCGATCTAACTGCCCACTTAAACTCGTAGATAAAAATCTTTCTCCTTTACTCTTCGTATCTGTATTGAATTTCTTTGGATTCTAATGACTGTTCATTATAGAATATCTTAAGTAATTGATTTTAATATAGTTAAGACCGATTAGAATTTGCTTTAATGGGGAATGTACGTTTTTCACCATTGAGCTAGTCTCTTAGCAGATTTCTTTATGATTTTATAATATCTACTTTGAATCAGCTTATCGTTTAATTGTTTAGGGTTTATTTAGAACTCTATTGAAAAAACAGTAAGACAATTAGCAGATCCTAACAGAAATAATAAAGTCAAGGAGGAATCGTCAAAATTACTCATTTGTGGTAATGATCAATGGTATTGAAAGGCGTACATTCTTCATTGAAGCAAATTGTGATGAGTCATATTCTATACTAAAATAAAATGTTTAAAGCATCCTTATAATAAATATCCAGTTAATACCAGACGGATGTGACATATTAAAAAAAAGCTGTTATCGTAATTCACTGCGGGAGTAAAATGTAAAATACGGTATAGATCAGAGCTGCCATCTTTTCTGCTTTTAAGAGTTTTTTCTGGTTTTTTTCTGTGATTTCTGCTTTTTTTAATATCATGTTATTCATATTTTTAACCAAGATTTTTTTTATCTAGAAGTTTTTTTTTCATAATTATAGAAAAATCCTTATCAATAGATACTGATAACCTTGTTTTATTCTAATTCTTTCAATTTTACAAAAATGATCTGTATTTTCTACTGGCTACAAATAAATAGCAATGTATAGTTTTGGTTTTTAATCTTTTCTCAATTTATATTTCTCTTGCTATTGTATTTTGTATTAGCCATCTATTCCATACAAACCAACATATGCATTCTTTTGTGTGTACGGTTGATAAGCATAAATAATTAATATGATTAGTAATGATACAGGGATAAAGAAACTAGGTGAAGATGATAATGATAGCACGATTACTAAAGAAAATAATATCAAAATACTAGTAGTTGCCGAACAAATATCCATGTCTTCGGAAGTTGAACCAAAAAAAAAAGGAAATCAAAGCAAAGCGTGTTTCACAAAGAATGACTTAAAATCGTCGAATATCAAAGAGTTTTAAAAGAATATAAATTACACTCATCTCAGGCAACATGTATTGTTTGTAATCAACAATTTTTCTGTACATTACTGAGAGAAAACTGATAATGACAATTATATAAACATTTAGAAACACAAAAAACACATGAAGTCTTATAGCTTTAATCAACAGTTATTTGAAATTCCTTCTCATCATGTGCTGAAATGTATAAATATTTATTAGGTAGTCAATACTTATTAAAGCTCCTCCATAAAAAAGTCCATTTTCGTCAAAAATGTCAGAAAGTAGGTAAATACATGGAAAGATAGCCTACAATGTGATCTTTCAAAAGAAGTATGGTTTTTAATTTAATACTTCATTTTTGCCCTAAATTAATCATGATTTTCATCGTCTTCTGCATAAAAAATACAGTTTTTTCGGAAAATACAGAAGATCTTTTTCACTTTTTCTTAGTTCATCTTGTCTCAAATACACAGGCGAGAATTATCCGTTCATGCTAACATAATATCTAACTTTTTGTTTTTTATTGAAAGAGCATGTCAAGATGAAGTGCACCAAAGAGTCTTTTTTTGAGATAAGCTTTTTTATTATCACATAAGAATGTGTGTCTATTGAAAAATATTGATTTTTTGTGAGCTTTTCGAATCATTAACTTGTGATCCTATTTATCGCTTGAAACGTAAGTATTTATAAAAAGGACTCTTTGGTGTCCTGTATTTTGACATGCTCTTTTAAATAAAAAAAGAAATATATTATACGCACCTTGGCAATAATTTTGTTTACCAAATATTGTATTTTTTTTATCCTGGTTTGGTGAATATCTCACTGACACGTCATAGTATCAAACTGAAAAGTTTACCATAGCCTCTCCGCTATAGTTCCAACATATTCTGAAAATTTCAGCCAATTTGTATATGCTGAGTTGCGATCGATTTTTGAGGGAAAGGCGATCTTAAGCGCTATTAAATTAGATGAAAAGTATACGTTCAAAATTGAATGTATTCAATAAGCCTATTTATTTGTTACTTAGTTGTGTTTCTTGATCTTGTATGATTCTATTTATTTGTTGATTAACTATTTTTCTTCATCCTGTACAACAAAGACGAAAACTTAATGTGAAAACTCTTAATTAGTACACAGGAATAGATCCTCAAAATAGCTTTAAATGCCAAACATACTTTCTGCTTTTTTTTCTGCTTTTCGATGACAAAATTTCTGTCATTTTCTGCTTTTTATAAATTATTTTCTGCTTTTTATAAATTATTTT